AATTGATTGAACTTTATTTGTTTATAGTCTGACAACAGATTTACTAAGTATTGCGCAACAGCACAGTGAATTGCACAACAGAAAGAAATCTTTAATTGAATATAAATTCAATTCATATAACCAATTTCAAGTTCTTTGACTACATTTATTAAGAAACCTATAATATGTCAAATATTTAATTACAATCCAAATTCAGACCTGTATCAAGCTTGAATAGTGTGTCCATTTTTGCCCCAACTGTTCAGGGTTGGACCTCTACGGGCGTATTCAGCTGCGCTCAGCAAAGCAGTTTATTTTATCTCGTAATTACGCGATAGTTTTCTCGTAATTATGCGATGATTATCTCGTAATTACGAGATAAAAAAAAACTATCGCGTATTTACGAGATAAGAAGTTTTTTATCTCGTAATTACGAGATAAAAAAACTTCTTATCTCATAATTACGCGATAGTTTTCTCGTTATTACGCGATAATTATCTCGTAATTACGAGTTAAAAAATGATTATTTCGTAATTACGAGATAGTTTTCTCGTAATTACGCGATAATTATCTCGTAATTACGCGATAGTTTTCTCGTAATTACGAGATATTTATCTCGTAATTACGAGTTAAATATGTTTTTTTTTGTGACTCTAATAGGCTTTCGTTATTTATTATTAGTATTGGTGTCTTTTTTCAAACGCCTGTCTGATGTTTCTTCTTTAAACACTTTAACAAATCTTATGTCAAATATGCTCCAACGGAGGTATGTTGGCTCGTCCATATTTCTTTTATAAATGACTTATCGCATATACTGGATTTATTTTTAACCGGGATTTATCTCATAATAACATTTTTTTTTTATTTCCGGAATCCTTCCATGGATTTCATTCTTCCGAACTGTTTCAAAAATACTCCTCAGCTAGAATACCTTTACCTAAAAAATAACATAATTGAGCTGCGTCGTATACAACATACACCCAAGTCAGGATTCCTTGAGTCCATCGACATATGTGATCCAAACTACATTACTAAACGAAGATACTTGGTAGTAAATTTTTCGCTTCATTTCTAAACGAATATTCATAAATTTCACGACGAATTTTGTATTTTCAATGACGTATTCTTTTAGATGCTTTGTAAACTTACTCCTCATTCGAAAGAAATGTTTGTAAGACTACAGTTTTGTACTGCTAACAAACCTAGGAGGTTTACAAGGGCTAACATCTCGAAACCAAACAAATGTGTATTTGGATCACACTGTGCTGATATAAATTAAAATTAGGACCATCAGTGAAAATAGTCATGCAAAAAGTAAAACAACAAAGATACCGAAATCCAAGGAAAATTCAAAACGGAAAGTCCCTTATCAAATGGCAAAATCAAAAGCTCAAACACCAAAAGTCAATTTTCTTCATTCTACGACATATTTTTTTCTGTCTTGTTTATCTATGTTTAAGCCACATCAAATTAATTCATAGATCGTCATTCTTTCGTTACCCAGTCAATTAATAATACCAAAAAAGGATAACAGTGGTCTTTTTCATTTTCTTGAAGTTTAAGAAGTGAAAAAAATATTGTTTCTTTTTACATTTTTGATTTTTGTGTGGAAGGTGGTTAGGAGTTGGACGATAAAATATCTCTAATTAAACTATATTCTTATTCAACAGTTTTTCAAAGTCTTCAAAGAAATGTTTTGTTTTTGTTGTTTTTGTCGTTTCTTGCACTGTATTCTTTCCCAAAGGAACGGGTGACGTTTGTCTGAATATTTTTGAATACAAAATTTTAACTTATGATAATTTTTAGACAATTTGATTTTCACGCTAAAAGTAAAATTAAATACAAATTATACTATTTTAAAAGTTTTTTTTAGTATTATGTCTGCAAATTATTAGATTGTCTTATATCCTCAAACTGGTCATCTAGCCAAGTCTGTAATTTTACCGACTATGTCCTATCCTCGATTGTGACGTTTTGACTGGGTATGGATTCGCATGGTGGGTGATGCATACCTAGCAGGAGACGCTTCAGTTACCTTGTCGTCGCATATGGTCTTTCTCCTTTAGAGTTAATGCGATTCCCTCAGATTTGTTTTTTTACCTCGATTTGTCTTCTTAATCTTAAAACATGTTTTGGCCTCGAGCATCACCGAAGAGACATTTATTTTCGAAATGCGCATCTGGTGCTGTAAAAAAATGGTACTGTTTTAAAATGCTATTAATCAATTCATGAGATTTTAACATCGACAAACTACTGTTACCGGGCGCCGAATGGGACTTGAACTTTTTGTAAACGAAATCAATTTTGTGTACACAAAATTCAATTCTGTCATAACAAAATCATTTTTGACTTTCAAAACTATGTGATACAGACTTGTTTTATGAGAACTTCAATTTTGTAATGACAAAATTCTTTTTTGTAGACAAAATTCATTTTTGTCATGACAAAATTCAATTTTGTCAAATAGGTATGCAAATATAAACTTTTGTTACCTGATATGGGAATTAAAACACAAAAGTCAATTTTGTGAGACAAAATTGAATTTGTACGCAATTAACATGTTGATTAAATTAGCATCCTGTGATTTTGTAATTAAAATAATTTTTTGTGTAGACAAAATTGAGTTTTGTTAGACAGAAGGTAAAATTACACACAAAATTGACTTTTGTGACACAAAATTGACTTTTGTTAAATTTTCACTTCTGTTTAACAAAACTCAATTTTGTATACACAAAAATAAACACAAAATTGAATTTTGTGACAAAATCTCAGTTTTGTATGCAAATTAGTTCACAGAATCCAAACTAAACTAATTTGCATACAAAATTGACTTTTGTCGCCCAATTTTCAAATTTGGTAACAAAAGTAAAGACTGTGATACAAACATGAATTTTGTCATGATAAAGGTAACTTTTGTCCTCTGAAAGATAATTTTGTATGACAAAATTTAAATTTGTAGTATGCTACAAATTTTGTTAAACTGAACTCATTTTTGTTGAACAAAACTCACTTTTGTCCGTACAAAATTGAATTTCAAGTACAAAACCACAAGAGTCCCGTTCGGCGCCCCGTAGCTATTGCCTACATTTAGTTTAATCAGGCGATCCTAAATGACAATTGATCAATGTAAATTGTACAGTCATATTCACTTCGGTGGCATTTCATAAGTTTATGAAATGGCTGTTCTTAGTAAAAGTAAAATAACAAAAATACCGAACTCCAAGGAAAATTCAAAACGAAAAGTCCCTTAACAAATGGCAAAATCAAAACCTCAAACACATCAAACGAATGGAAAACAACTTACACATTGCAAAGCGTAATAACATTGTAGCATTTTTACATATTATCTGGGGTTTATTTCAAGAAGTTTTCCTAGCTAAGTAGTTGTTGAAAGTCTGGGTATGCAGTTTTTGCTTACAAGTCCTGCATCGTTTGTTCCAACAGGTTCTTGCATCGGTAGTCTGTACAAAAGTTTGACTTTAACGTAACGTCACAGCTATAAGACGTCAAGAATGATTAGTCGTGTAAACCGTTTACTAGACGTACAGTTTAGCGAGTCGTTCAATTGTAAAGTCAACATTGTTGACCTACTTCATCGAACATTCTTAAAACATTCATCAAACTAACAACAGATTGATTTGTAAGTGCATGCCAATTAACGAGAGGCCACAGTTGACCCTTATACCATTGCATATGGTGATGGCTGTCACATATCGTCCAATGAAATTGCAAATTTTTTTATGATTAGTGTTGTTCTAAAGAAATTTTGTTGTGCGTTGTTCTATGTATAAATATAAAGAGATGTGACGCTTGGTAAACGAAAGAACAAATATGGCATATGGTAAACAAAAACAACAACCACTTAATTATGGGCTCCTGAATTGGGACAGTCACATACAAAATATAGTGGGGTTAACATATTTGTTCAATCTAACCCCCATTATAAACCTTGGACAATGGTGTATCAGCACAACATAAGAACAAACTGCACAAAAATTATCGGAACAAGCGTTATAAAAATAAGGAGATGTGGTACAACTGCCAATGAGACAACTATCCCCCAAAGTTCAAATGAAGTGGATGTAAGCAATTATAGGCACTTGTAAGGCCTTTACTTATCAAATAGGCACACAAAGCAACAAACAAAATAACTAGGTCATTATTTAACGTATAGCAAAGACACGAAATTGTAAGAAGAGAGCACCTGTACAACTGGATAAAGTATTTTGTTTTTAATTTGAATGACGCGTGTCCTTTTGACTAACCTTTTTCAGAAAAGCTCAAAACCAAAACATTTGGATAGCATTTAGTAGAAATATACAATCAAAATAGATATATCTTATAATATCAGTACCATACCACTTGCAACTGGATGGTTATACTCTAAATAGACTGAAATGACATCGACCTCAGACTCTATGTAACGGATAGCCGGTTCCAATTGTGAAAGATTCCAAGGGCACATTCAAAACTCATTAGTCGAGATAGATGCCAACGCCATAGCAAAAAACAAAGACGACGACAAAACAAACAAGTTCAGACAACACTACATAAAAAACTAAAGACTAGGGAACACGCCCCTCCCCTTCCCCCGAAAAATGAATCTTGGTAAATCGCAGGTGTTCCAGAACGGTAAGCAGATCCACTAGAGACACCCGTCGTATTACTCTTATAAAAACTTTGAAAATTTATATCAAGTGATAAGGTATCACATAATTTCGAATTGGTAATTAACTCTTATCTTACCATAAAACATCACAAAATTCGCAAACCATCGGTCATGTTATAAGTTCATTTGCGGAAGTGGGTATTGGTTTTCAGATTTTCCGTCTACCCTGTTCATTTTCATGGGGGATTCGAGAAAGTGTGGTTACTTCATAAGTTTGAGTTCTACGTTTTAATTAGATATTGGACTCTTGATTTTGAATATACAATTTCCGAGTGGTTTTTTATTTTTTTTTATTTCCGTCCTTATTGATAACAAGAAATTTGGAAATGTTTACGCTATTGTTATTTCTATCATTGTCGTTCACATTATGATAGATTTCCTCATAGCTTGCAATGCAGTAGAAAGAGTCTGGCTAAATAGGTAAAGTGTTATTTTCATTTATATTTTATATACACTTTTTTCTTCTTATAGTCAATGTTTATGCGCACATTAGAAAGTTCTCAAATCAAATTTTAAAAGTATAAAAGAAAATGATATTGTAAGACCATGTGTTGTTGAAGCTATAAATTGAATTCTTTTGTCGTGTCTTTCAATTACTTTATTTCAAGAAAGATCTTTAAAGGATCGGCATTGTTTCTCCTTTCATTGACTGAATTTTATAATGAGAAATTGTGTATTTTATTTTCAGTTTCACTACAGTAGCATCAACCAGCCTATGTAACTATGCGCTTAAACGTGCATCAACATATACTCTTATTATCAGTTTTGGTTTACAGTGACCTTTGTTTCAAATGCTCGTTTGATTCATCCTGTGAGTGTGTCTTAAACACAACAACAAATCTTATGTCAGCAAAATGCTCCGATAGAGGTCTGTTAGCTCTTCCAAATTTTGGCAACATATCGCATCTTTTGGATTCATTTGATGGAAGCCATAACAAAATCGAGTGTATACCAAATTATATTTTTGGAAATGCCAAAAGCGTAATTAAGCTGGATTTATCTTATAACAACATATCATTAATATTACCAGAATCCTTCAATGGACTTGAACAACTCGTGACTTTAGACCTCGAATGGAATAACGTACTGTATGATGTCAAATTCATTCATCCGAACTGTTTCAAAAATACTCCTCAACTAAGATACCTTAACCTAAAAAATAACGTAGGTTTTTATCCATCTGCCCAAAAATATCCAAATTTGTCGTCACTCGCTGAACTTGAAACTCTCAAATTAGATGGATTACCACATGATAGTTTTCAACGTGGATATGAAAAACTAAGTAAACTAGCAGACTTGGATTTGTCGAGTAAGGATTGTGACATTGGAATCATAGATTCAAAGTTTTTCCAATCCCTTTTAAATCTTCAGTATATTGATATTTCAAACTGTTCAGTGGTAAAAGTTTGGAAAAATTGCTTAAGACATTTGAAAAATCTGACACATCTTAACGTTTCTTATAATGAGAAGTTGAATTTCGCAGGTGTCGAAAATATAACTTATGACTTACAGTTCACTTCCATTGAGGTACTAAAATTCAACAAAGTACATAAAACATTCGAGATGAACACAGAAATAGGTCGCAAAACATTGAAATATCTTCAGAATACGAATTTAAAAGAGATGTACATGGATAGTAACAGATTACAATATGTTAAAAGTGGGGTAATTTCGATATTGCCGAAAACCCTTGACAGACTGTCAATGGCAGATAACATGCTCTCTTTTGGGACTTATATTTTGGAAGGAAAAAACATGAACATTTCTTTTATGAACGTGTCATTTCAGTTTACTTCACATACACCTTCGTTGGGATCCTTTGAGTCCATCAACAGATATATATCGCAGCACAGAACGCACCGTATAAAAAGAGACGTTGGAATTAATTTTCCTCTTCCGTTCCCAAAAAATATTCGTGAACTCCACTTTAGGAGAAGTCAATTACAATTTGATATTCCGAGGTTGGAACTAATGGAAAATAAGCTGGAATATTTTGATGTAAGTCTTAACCTTCTTGCAAACTGGTGGGGACCAACAGTGAATTTCATTCACCTGAAATTTTTGAATTTATCCAGTAATTATTGCTCTAATATATCATCGTATTTTTTTAAAGGAACGACAAAACTGGAAACATTATACATACAAAATAATTTGCTAGGATTCAACATTCCATCTGATGTAAAAGGCGAAATTTTAAAGCCGCTTCAACATTTAAAAACTATTGACCTATCGCAGAACAGAATACCTGAACTCCCGTCTTTGTTTTTCATATTTCTGAAACAACTCGAAATATTGAATTTACGTGACAATCTAATTGAAGATATTGACTTCAAATTGATTCAAATGAAAAACTTATCCCATGTCGATTTATCTAAAAATCGAATACAACTTTTGGGATCTGCAGCGATTAATAACTTGGAATCCTTGGCGGACGATCGCAAGTTTTCCTTGAATTTAAAAGGAAATCCGTTTGTTTGTTCGTGTGCCTCATTGAAATTCCTAAAATGGATATCGCAAACGAAAATCCTGTTACTTGATCGCAGAAAATACGAATGCAAGTACGAAAACGGAACAAAAGCTTCACTTGCAAACGTCAACAATATAATAAACAAATTGGAAAAGGACTGTTCTTCGTATCCAGGAGTCATCATAGGTATCACTGGCACGATATTTTTGTCTGTTTCAATTATTCTGTTTGGACTATTCTACAGATATCGATGGAACCTCCGTTATTTGTATTATATGACTAAAAATAGATTCCGTGGATATGTTCCTGTCATAGAGAATTCAAACAAATCATACCTCTACGACGCTTTCATATCTTACGCAGAACAAGATGGTAATTTTGTTCACCATGATGTAATTGACAATCTAGAGAAAGAAGGCAACCTAAAGCTCTGTGTCCACAGACGTGATTTCCTTCCTGGAAATGAGATTTCAGCAAACATAACGAGTGCTATCCATAACAGCCGTAAAACGGTAATCATTCTGACTCGCCATTACTTAAATTCTCAGTGGTGCATGTTTGAATTCAATATGGCAAGAATGGAAAGTATGTACTCGCGAGAAATTGGGAAAACACTTTTTCTGGTTTTTCTGACCAGCATTCTCCCAAAGGAACTCCCCTTGGTTCTGATGGAATACATTCATTCTAACTCTTATATAGAATATCCTGGTGACGAATATGGGAACGTTGTTTTCTGGCAAAAAATGAAAGAGGCTGTACGTGCCTGATTTGATATTAAAATAAAATATACTGTAAACATATTTCTTATTATAAGATGTTCAAATTGAATGAAGCTGTATGAGTTCTATGAACTATAAATAAGTGAATATATTTCTTATTAAAAGTGGTCAAATTGAATAAAGCTATATAAGTTCTATGAATTGTAATTAAAGACTTCTGCAGAAGATCGAAAATAAAACAGTAAAGTTACCTTCCGTTTAACAAAAATGTATGTGTGTTATCTCATCACATTTAAGATCATGATCATCATCATGTGTTGTACGTTGTTGTTTGTCTTTGTTTGCATGGCTGTTTTGGGGAAGGAGACGGTTGTTGATGTGGTGTTGTTACAAAATGAATACTGTGTGATATTGTTGGCGATTCCTGGTTTCCTTATGCGTGTATTGTCACTTGTATTTTTTTTCCATCTTTTCAGCATGTGAATATATACAAAAAGTATGCAGCGTTCCCTTCTTAATACCTGCTTTTACTTTTATCATAATACTATTTTTTTTTATTAGGCATATAGTCACACATAAACAAATTTATCGCTTTCTTTTTTTTTTTATGTATAATGGAATACGAGTATTCTTTATTTTGTTTTGTAGTATTGTTACATTTTTGTCTGGTATCAGCTCTAATGTTTGTGAATTAAAACTATAACAGTTCTCGTCTTAGCTTGTCTGTTCTTGAAATATTTAATTTATGTTTGTGTCTTTGTTAAGTGTTTTATTATTATTATTATTATTATTATTATTATTATTATTATTATTATTATTATTATTGCTTACCCTTTTGGAGCACCTGAGGTCACTCCCGGTTTTTTGTTGGGTTTGTGTTGCTCAGTCTTTAGTTTTTTCATTGTTTTGAATGTCCCCTAGGTATCTTCCCTCTCCTCTTTAACACTGTCCGCACAACTACGTTCCTCCATCACAAATCATTGTTGTCACAGGTACTTGTGGACAGGATACCCTTTGAGTACGTCTATAAGGTGGTATCCTAAATAGTACTTGAATTATTAAAGGGGCATTAGCTGTCAAATTCATGATCACCGATTTCACTCAAATTTTCATATTTGATTTATAACATACTAAAACGTATATCCAAATAATGAAAAGTCTAAACAATTTACGACAATTTACGATGCACGAACTCGATAATATGTATCAGCATTTCGTGTGTATTTTAGTCTAGACGCCATCTAATTAACCATCGAGGTGACCTCCGAAGACTGCCGACGGTCATATCACCCAAATAAACATAAACACAGATATAAAAAGATAGCGAACTCGGGCAGTTGGATTTTTCTAGGTTTTTTTGTAGATCGAATCAGTCAACCAAATGTTTTACCCTTGTTTCACTTCCAATGTTGACATTCTTTTCTTTTTAAAAGCTGAACACGCCTAGTTCATGCGTAGCCCATCTCTAGCTAGGGGGTTTAGTTGAAGTTCACATAAATACGGATTTAATGAGGTCGAGTTATTCATTAGCGATGTTTCTTTGCTTATTTTGACAAAACTGAACCAAACAGGCTGCTAAAAGCGAATTATAATATCACCATTTCACTTTCATTAATGATTGAACAAAAAGAAATCAAATTTTATTTTTTCTATATCCCGTAGCTAATGTCCCTTTAATATTTGTATATATTTTATCTTATTTTATTTATTTTTTTACATTTTGGAATACACGTGTAAGGAACTGAGAGAGAGAGAGAGAGAGAGATCACATAGGGGCACTTAAAAGAGTAATTTTTACCTTTCATGTGTTTCTCTTGTATTATGAAATAAACCTGCTTAAAATACAAATACTGTCGTGTAGACATTATTAACAATATGCTGAAACTTTCAAAAAGTTTTAAGATGCTTCATGGTAAATAGTTGTAAAGAATGCAAACAAGAATAAAACCAGCATTTAAAATGATATCATTATTTGTCTTTGGAACATGCGAAATCAACGTATATTTCTGAGTGTTGTATACATCATAGGAACACATTAATTGTCAGAATTTTCGGTTTTTAATGCTCTACAACTTCGTATTTAATATGGCTGTCTTACTGTTTCGAGCGCTAGTGATGAGTCTTATGTAGATGAAACGCGCGTCTGGCGTACCAAATTATAAGCTTATATACCCTCAAGTTTTGTTTGAACATTGGTAAACTACTGTTGCCTTAATTTAACACCTATTGTTACTTCCCCTAATATCAAGTCCGACTTAAAATTGATATTAGTTGTACTCATAGTACTATGCACCTCACTTACCAATATATGTTCGAAGCCCAAATATACACAAATATATAACACGTACGTTGTAGAAAAATACAGATATTGATGTTCAAAATTCCACACGAAGATAAAATATGAAAAATCGACCATTAAAGGAACAGTTTTTTCCTATAAAGGTGATTAATTGTTTAGTGTTTTTGTGTGTCCAGTGGCAAATATTACATGCATATTTAACAATTAAAAATTACTACAGTATGTAGGTCCTGATAAGTAGCTCGGCCGGAAATTTTGGGATTGCCACTGGAAAATGAGGGTATGTTAGATAGGGCACAAAAAGTGGCATTTTAACAGGGCATCTACAGACTCGTTAGCGAGTTGTTGCAATAGTTGTTGTTGTAGAGAGCGTAGTCCTCATCTTACTCTACATCGGATTTAAATTTCCCATTCCAACTGGACGTGGCAGCGTATTCATACATTCCTCACCGTCAAACAGACGGCCCGCTTCATCAAGGATTTAAATGCTGGTCCGGAGAAGTCCATGAATGAACAAGTAGAAATTAATATATTATCATAATCTTGCTTATTACAAGTAATTGATTCGTGAATTTTTTCTTGAATCTGAAAATAATTTGTGCCCTACTAAAACGACTGTCAAAACCAGTTCTGCTAATGAGAGTGAATAGACTGTAGTTCTGTTCATTCACACACTGTTTGAATTAGTATGAGGATGATAAACCTACTGAAATAACGCTTGCATAATCTTAAATAGTAACGGAGTTCTCAAACATCTTCGACTGATACTGGATCACCACACCTTGCAAGCACTGTATCATATAATATTTTGCTTTTCTGGGACTTCTCATCGGTAACCTGTACAGCCTTCAATCATAGACAGGTGTTTATATAATATGTGTAGCTCTAAGAATAGTATCAGCCTAAAAAATGTGAAATGAACATTGTTATGAAAACGATAAAATCATATATATGCCACCAAAACAAGAAATTCCAAATAAAAAACGATTTAAACAGTAAGATATGACATAAAACAACCACTAACATGAACATGTCGCGGGGGAAACTTCGTTTTTATTTAAATCTCAACCCTCCCCTCTTTAATCTCGTTCCGCGTACTATCACAAAGGTACACAACAGAACATGAAATAGAGTTTTTAGAAGAAAAGTAAATGATTTCATAATAATGGTATAATAGATGCTTTGTGTCGATCTGAGGAGTCAAGCCTTTTTCAACTCATTGTTATAGTTTGTTTCTATGTTGTGCTGTTCCACCATTGTCACAGGTTAGGGGGAGGTTTGAAAACACTCGCTAACATGTTTAACTCCACCACATTATATATGTGCCTGTTTCAAGTCAGAAGACTATATAATTCATTGGTTGTCGTTGGTTGCTGTTGCTGTCTTTTATATTTGTTTTTTGTTTATTCTTTTTTAACATAAATCAGGCAGTAAGATTTCTTGTTGATTTGTTTTACATTGTGACATTTCTTGGACTTTTATAGCTTACAATACAGTTCGGGTTTTGCTTGTTGTTGGTGGCCGTACGATGGCTAATAGTTGCTTACATGTACGGCATTTGTACCCAGGTGGATAATTGCCCCATTGGCAATCATACTGCATCTTCTTAATTTTATACAAAATAAAATAAATATTTCAAAAACAATAACAACCTACGCCGTATCAAAATTAATCGCAGATACTGAAAGCATGCTGCTATATATGCAATCATGCCATCATATCGCTTGCTGTACTTTGCATGTTATATCATACAACAATAACATCAATATATATATATTTATAACCTTATATTGTATTTCCCTTTTTCGAAAGAAATTTCCACGGAAAACTGAACCTGTTTAACCATGTTTCTAATTAGTAATTTTACTTCTATTTCTTTTCAAAATATAATGCTTTCTCGATTTGCTTATTTAACAGTTTTACAATATTTTGTCTCAAGGTTGATATAACAAGTTTGAAAAGACTTGCTTGTGTGGACGTTTGTGATACATACGACATTAAAAGAACTGTATGATTTTTCTTAATTGTGCTATTAGACTATTTTATCGTTCAACGGACGAAAATCAAAGTATAATCTGTTTAATTATTTTTCAAGCCTTTCCTAAATTTAAGTCTTTGCCGGAAGTTTACTTATAGAAGTTGGGCAAATATTTTATATAAGATTTGTTCAATGGGCAAAATTATGCACAGATTTACAAAACTTTGAAAAATTCCTCCGTATTCATCTGAAAAAAGGATTTCTTTCACAAACATTTATTAATTTTTTATTGAAAAGCAATTTTCAAAACCAAACAAAATTTGAAAAACAAAGAATAGATAAGCACCAGGCAAGACAATTGTCTGTTCTGCATGCATATCATAGTGACATCCACTGTTTTATTTGATACAAAACTGGTCGAAGCTTTCATATAATAGTCTACTAGAGTTGTGTTTCTTATATACTGATATTTTATATTCAAACGTAGATATATTTCATTTTCTTATCAATACTAAATCGAGCTATGCTACAAATATACATGCAGTAAAGGTTTTACGGAGTTATACTTTCTGTAAGAATGTTCTCTGATAATAAAAGATCTTTATTTTGGAATGGAGTTAAATAATTCATTAATGGAAAAGCGTTCCAAGGTTAATAGTGACGGATCGACTTCTGTATCCTTGGGAGACTTTTACATGTTAAGGACACAAATAAACATGAATAAAATAGTTTTTATTGTAATATTTTGCTCTCAATAAAAATAACGTCTGCTACCCGCATTGACAAGAAATGAGAGAGAGAGAGAGAGAGAGAGAGAGAGAGAGAGAGAGAGAGAGAGAGAGAGAGAGAGAGAGAGAGAGAGAGAGGGATAGAGAGAGAGAGAATATATAGCGTTTAAAAACAATCACAACCGAAATAAAACTTAGACATTTTTGTTGTGATTTTTGGTCAACTATTTGTTTAACTTCGAGTCGAATGAAGACTTAACATTGTCGCTTGCGTTTTTTGTACGTGAAAGCTTTTAAAATCACGGAGATTTGTTCCATATGCTAGTATTTGTATTGAGCAAAGTAGATTTAAAAAAACAAACAATAAACATAAACACAATACTATATGTGGAGTTTCTGTTAGCAAAACATCATGGATACCAAATACTTGGTGGACACATTCTCATATATTTTGCTTAACATATGTATTTAGATGTTTAAAAATTTTGTGGGTAAACTCTACAAGAGAGAGATGGGAATTTCAAATTTTACGTAGTTAGGAATATTCGAAGTTGAAATCAATGAACTTTTTCAGAGTAAATGGTACTTTGATCACGATCTTTTTCATGATCAGATCTGCGTTTTTAATTAGCCAGCTAATTAACAAATGCATATGCATTCGACCAGTTGTATGGCCATATCTAGATGATAACAGTGAAGATACGT